CCGTTTGTAACGTGGCGGCTGTGCTGTTTGGATGAAGTTAAACTTTGCTGGTCTTCACTGGCCGCTCTGGAGATGTGAGCAGGAACCTTTCCTTCAAGAGCAGTAGGCAAACAGTTTCCTGCACCGATGAGTGAAGGAGGAGAGGGCAGTGCTGTGGGGCCAGCGTAGGGCTTGGAATTGCAGGGCTTTATTTTAAGACGTGGTGTGCTGTGATAGTCTGGGGGATGGACTTCCCTGTCTTCCTGTAGATGACTGCGTTTAAAGATCTGTTAGTTCCCTGAGAGGGACCAGTATCCGCAGGGATCTCAGCCCTGATGTTCTGGGTTTAGCTCGTTTAACTGTGCCTCGAGCTCTTGCCGGAGCTCTTCCCAGCTCATCCCACCTCAACGTGTGACACTGGGTGAAAAGATCCTGGTGTTTGTGTATCACAGTTCCGCGACCTTCTGAGAGACTTGCCTCTACTAAAAATCAAGATGGCCCTTTCCTTAGGGAATATGTTGGCGGTCCTTTAGCTAATGGAGTGCTGGGCACACGTGGAGCCTCCCTCTGAGGTCGGTGGGACGTCACTTCAGCAGTGGGGTGAGTTGTCAGGCCCTCGCCACTTACAGTCCTTCTCTGAGCTGTGATCTGTAGCATGAAGTCGTCAGTCGCTCTGTCTTGCCTTGTGGGGTGAGAGCGAAGGAGTTGGTTGGTCAGATGACTGATGTTATTTTTCCCAGTCCTTGCTAACGGAGCAGTGTTCCCCTGAGGAGTTTGAGGGCAGCATCGCTTGAGAGTGCCCTGTCAATTCCTGACATTAGGTTTTTCAGGTTTTCATGGTCCTGTCTTCCCCGGAAAGGCCTGACTCTAGTCTGCAGGTGATGGTCGTAGCTGCACCTAGCTATTCAAGGAGCTTTTTCTGGGAAAATTCTGGGGGAGAATTCTGCGTTTCATAGCAGTAGGAGTGACTGATTAGAAAGGTGCAATTACTACTTTAATTAACTACTAGTTTCAGTGAAATTGCAGTCCAACATCACCTATGCAGTCGTGGTGAAATTTGACTGAAGAATTAATTCTGGGTTACAGTTTTTTCTGTGCTGATGAGAGGGAGGGAGCGGAGTGGAAACTGCTGAAGTTGCAAAAAAGAACTCCAGGTTTGCGTGGGAAGGTCATGGATGGCACATCGCTGTGATGTCCAGAAGGAGCGGAGGTGCTGCCCATCAGCTGTGTTCCACTCCCCTCCCCTTGGGGCTTGAGAAACCCTTTCCTCTTGTCCATCTGGAAATTGCACATTTATTTCTGCTTTTTAAGGCTGGCAGGTGTTAATTTGAACGGGAGTGCATGAGCCTGTGAACAGAACAGGCACAGCGTAAGGCGCTTTGACAGACAGCAGCGCTTTGGCTTCTGGCCTGGCAGAGGGTGAAGCAACGCTGCAAGAGCCAGGTGTGTTCCTGTGTGTGAACTGCCTGAGGTTTGTAGTCACACTGACACCCACTTGGGAACCTGTTGTGACAGGTAGGAGTGCGTTGAGACAGCCCGTGTTTGAATTCCGGGCGGTTTCTCGTACTTCATGGAGATGTTTCAACAGAAGCGTGGGCTCTGTCCCTTGGCGAGGCCCTAAGGGATGCGGTTTAGGCCTTCCTAGCTTGAACCAAGTGGGTGGGTGTTTGTGTCGGCCCAAGAAGGTTCTTGGGAGGGTATTACGATGCCTGTTGCTGGCGTGCAGACTCTTCTGGGGCTTGGAGCTGTGTTCTCTCGCGGTCTTCGGCATGCACGTGACTGTACAGAAGGGACAGGGCAAAGTGCTGTTTATGGGGCAGGGAAGAATTGCACCAGATCTCAGGCCCCTTCCCACCTCAGAGGCTCTGTGAAGGTTGGGTTGGAGCATCACAACAAGCACAGCCTTGTGGGATGGGAAGACCGTGATGTGAACGACAGTGCTGGACTTGCTATATGGTGTCCCTTGGATAGTGGTCCGGAACTTGTAAACTTACGCCATGTTTTCTCTGGCGCTCCTGTTGTTATCTGCATTTTCCTAGAACTTGAAGTTGGAGGAGATCTAAGGTTTTTTTGGACAAACACAGCAAAACTCAGGAAAATAGTCATTTTCAGAAGATTAAGGTTCTTTGTAGCTCGTGTACGAAAGTTGGCCAGGTGTTTTGCAGGAAGAAAAGGTTTCTGGGACCACTACTCCTTGTGGCTTTTCCAGGCTCCCTGTTCTGCAAGCCCCTTTTCTTGAGCTCAAGCTGTGCTCCATCGTGTAACAGTGTCTCCCTTAGGATTTAAAGTGCCCCCCCAGTTTAGCTGTCTGTGACTCACAATCCGTCAGTTGCCGTGAGGGCTTCTTGGAGAACATTCTGCTCCAGCAGCTGTGCAGCAGCTCGACTTTTAGTCCCTTTAGGAGGGTGCTTGCGTTCCTGTTCATTGGGGTAAGCTGCCCAAATGCGACAGTCTGAGCCACAGACCACGTGCGTCGCATCAGAAAGGGGAGTGTTGCACCAAGTCTCTTACTGCAGGAGAGCTGATGCTTTCCCGGCTGGACTAGGCTCCAATTAGTAATTTCCTGTACGTGCTTTTCCACTTCAGAATTGTTACTTGCCCTTTAAGTGCGCTGGACCTGAAGTACTAAAGGTGAGCGCCATGAGACTGAGGTCATGAGTACTGGTTTCACGTGGACTAGGGGGACTGAGCATCCTTTGCCATGTGGAAGCTTCTCTAATACAGGGTATTTTGATTGCTATCTTACTTGGAACTCCTCTGACGTGTAGCCCCTGCCATCTGCACCCCCATCCCTTCCCAGTGTGACGTTGGAGCTGTTCCCGTTGAATACTCAACTTCCCTCAGGACTCGTCGAACTGGTTTGCTTTCAGTAACTTGTACTTTGCCTGCGTTCCTCAATCCCGTGCCGTGTCCTTCGGGCTGTAGTTGTTTTCTGTACCTTACAGGCGTTGCAGAAACAGTCTTCACGTTGTGTTCCTGGGTTGGACAGCAGGGAGCGAGGCCGGGGCGGGAGGAACCTTGGCTGCACATCAGCTGCTGTTCAGTGGCCAAGTGGTGACTTTCACGTAGAGGGCCCAGAGGGGTCACGGGCATGCCTATGTTCTTTCCGGAGAATGTGCCCTGTGATGGAACGCTGCGGTGGTCGGGTCTGTTCACATTGGAGAAGGCTCAAGGGGGACCTCGTCACAGTGTTCCAGTACATACGGGGTGGCTGTGAAGAAGCCGGAGGCTCTCCCCGCAGGGAGCCTCATGGGAGGGAAGGGGGATGCTGGGGGCAGGTTTCAACTTCATAGGAGAAGAAACGTTTGCAGTGAGAAGAGTGAACTGCTGCGCCAACCTGGCCAGTGGCGTGGGGGTGCCCGCCGCTGGAGGTGTTCCAGCCACAGCTGGGCAGGGCGCCGGCTGATCTCATCCAGGCGTCCTTCCCGCAGGTTCCTTCCGCTCGGGCTGTTCGGCGCATACACCAGGCAGTGAGACCAGTTACCGTCTCCAGGTAGCCAGATGCTGTCCAGGGGCGTCAGGAAGGCGAGTGGAATCCTTGAGTGTACGAGGCCAGAGGCGTGGAAGTGCTGCTTGGATGTACCTGGTCAAACAGCGGTTTGGGTGCTTCTCCAGGATACGAACGGGTACTTCTTGTCTGCAGAGTACCTGCTCTTGTGCGGGGGCGGCAGGGCAGTCCTCCTCCCCCTGCACACCCCGTCTGGTGTCACAGTGCCTTGCTTCGGGTCCCACTGCCAGCCTGGCATTCCCTGTGGCTCCGCCGCCATTCCAGCCGGTTCCGTGTTTGCTGGTCGAAAGTTTCCACGCGCAGCGGTTGTAGCCTGGGTGCTCAGAGCAGAGGCTGCAGTTGTCGCCTCATGCGCTTTATGAAGAGTTCGGTGAGATGTTAATTAGGGGATTCACGCTCGTTCTGGGTGTTGGGAAGGACGAGGAGTGAGTGGGATGGCTGGGGAATGAGAAGCCAGCAGAGGCTGGAAGAATGTGGTGTGTTGGCGCCATCCTGCAGAAAACCACTCGGGTGGTGGGAGGGCGTCAGCAGCGGCGCAGACTCTCTCTTGCTATTGCTCGTGAGCTCTTGGTCCTGAGGAATGTGTGGATGCCCTCTTCTCTTCCCCTCCCTCCAGGTTCCCCTGAACCTGCAGGGCTCTGTCCGTGGGAGGCCTGGCTGCTGTGACAGCCCCACTGGGAGGCTCGTGGCACTTCTCTCGCCTGTGTTTGCTTTTCAGAGGCGTCACCTCTGCTGGGAGCTGTGGGGGAGCTGGGTGTGAGGGAAGGGCTTTCCTGGGCGAAGGGGAGGGGCCTGAAAACTGAGTAGTTGTTTGCACTTAGGTGGAAGAATCAGTAGAGCTGAGATTTGGAGACTGTAAGGGGCTCGTAGTAGGTGCTTCATGGTGAGCAGCTGGGGAACGTTGGTGACTTTTCTTTTGAGGTAACTCCACACTTTTCTGTTACCCAGAGAGGAATACAGGTCTTGGAAGCAATTGGAATAACAAAGAAACAGCAGTGAAATCAAGCTGTAAACCCTCTCATGCATCCTGAATATTCTTGTGAGCATAACTGCTGCAGAATCCACAAACAGCATCAGGGATTAGATGTTAAAAGTCCAACCAGACAAAACACCGGAAGGGCAAGAGGGATGAATGAAAAATTGAGGAGTTTCTGCTATATTTGCTCTGCAGTCAGTTTTTAGATGCTCTTGGGTGTAGGCATTGGAATTGCTAAAACTGATTTTATCTTTGAAGCTAAATCGTGAGCTGAAGAGAAACATGATGGTGAGATGGTGTCTTAATTACTTGTGAAACTTATTACTGGACTCTGTACGTCTGTAATGTTCTGTCCGAAGTGTTACTGACCAGTGTTCTAAGGACACGCGTAGTAGTGCTGTGCCTGCTTTCAGCCCCTAATGCCCAGTAAATGCTGTGCTGGAGTGACAGCAGAAGCATCGTGAGACTTGTGTAGGATGGGGTTGTGTTCACAAATTGGAAATACACCTGTGTGACCAACTATTCTTGCACTTCCAGGTGGATGGAGGCGTGTCTGAATGAGGAGCTACCTCCCACAACAGAGCTGGAAGAAGGATTGAGAAACGGAGTCTACCTGGCCAAACTTGGGAACTTCTTCTCCCCTAAAGTGGTTTCTGTGAAGAAAATCTATGATAGAGAACAGACTAGATATAAGGTGAGAGCTCTTGGCTGGGGATACTGCTTCAGGTAGACGTCTAAGGTAGGAAGATGTGCACACGGAGGTACTGTGGGCAAGTAAGCGGGACGCTAGTTTTATTAGTATTACCTGAGAAATTCACCCTTCACTCTGGAATATGAGTGGGACTCTTGGCTTCATGTCCGAGCTTGGGCTCACGAGAGGGAATGTGCCACAGACACTCCATATAACTGTTTGCAGAGGACTCCGGACTTCTCTTCTTTCGGAGTTCTGTTTTCACTCCCTGTCTAATGAACTTCCCTGATGTGCTGGGCCGCTGTGATACTTTGTTTGTTACTGCCTTCCCCCTAATTCCTGCCTATTTTTATTTCAGGCAACTGGTCTCCACTTCCGCCACACAGATAATGTAATCCAGTGGCTGAATGCCATGGCTGAGATTGGCCTCCCCAAGGTAATTTCTGGGTTGTAGGTGCAGATAAGTAAATCGTCTCAGAAAGTCTTTACATCCCGTGGAAGCATTTGCTGTTACCCAGCAATCAGCAGACTTCACCCAGTTAATTCTGCATTTTCTAGATTTGCGCCCCTATAGAAATTCTCTCGTAAAACTTGGGGACAGGTTTCATTCTGCTCTGTGTGCATGAGGGCGATGAGGAGCAGAACAGTTCCTTCTGCTGCACCACATCCTTAATCTTGCTAATCTTGCACAACGTCTGCGTTCCGTTGTATTGCCGTGCATCTTTTGGGCAATATCTGAGCTGCAGTTTGATTGTGGAAGTTTCTGCAGAAATCTGTGGTAAGAGAAGCAGTGCAACAGAAAACGCCACGTTCTCTGCTTCTTCAGATTTCCTGATGAAATTTTCCCGTGGAAATGTTCTTGGCATAGCTCAGTCCAATATAAACCATTGGCTTCCGGGGGGGAATGATCAAATGATCTCTCGCCTTTCCCCATAGTCCTCGCTGATACCTGGTGAGCCGGTGTCTTGGTGGGCACGGCCAAGGAGGGCTGTACTCATCCCCGCGTGCAGAACGTGCCTAGCAAAGGGGAGCCCTGGTTTAGGTGGTAGAAACAAAATGATTCGCGCTTCCAGGGGGAGAAGTGTTGGGCTGGGGAAGAGGAGCTGCGCTGTGGGCTGTTTGCTAGTGTCCTGCAGACCTGGGCTTATTGCCGCTGCGCAATTTGGCCATGCAGTGCGAGTGTAATTCATACTGGTAACTTTGGTTTATCTTTAGATATTCTACCCAGAAACTACAGACATCTATGACCGCAAGAACATGCCACGCTGTATCTATTGTATTCATGCACTCAGGTGAGTCATTCTAGGCAGAAATCTAATCGCTTCTGGAATCTTCCTACAAGCGCGAAAGGTGAGAGGGGGCAGAGCTGGACTGGAGGCTGGATGAGGACGGATGTTCTAGCACAACGGTCTCACCAGGGCAGAGCGAAGATCCATGGAGCCAGTGTTTTGCCTTGGTCGGTGGCCAGTTCAGATGCTGAAGGAAAGAGCCAATCAAGCATGTTGTGATTACTCCCTTCCCATCCCAGTTCTTACCCTCCCTCTCTGCTGTCTGAGGCAGAGCTAAACATTTTGGGACTTAAAGGAAAGGCTGAAGCCCTAAAAGGTGTCTGTGAGAGAGGAAAATACTGGGTTATCCAGGGGTCGGTCAGACCACGAACGGAAGGCAGCGTGGTGACAGCACGGAACTGCAGCCTGTGTCCGGACGGCTGCGTAACGGTTACAGGAAGCGCTGCTGAGAAGGCTCTGAAATTCTAAAATCTCATGTGGAACAAGTAGGATAATCCTAGTTCTGGAGAAAACTGGGAGGGTTCAGTTGTTGATGCTTTGCCCTCCAGTTTGGCAGGACAGCATGCTGCATGCTTTGTGCTTTTTAAGAGCTTTTTCGTTTGGCTTGTCTCCCCCCAGCCAGCTGGTTTGAATGCGGCTGTGGCTTTCGGCACATGGCGAGATTTCTGTTGCAAAAGGATCCTGTTTGTAGCACCAGCCAGGTGACTGAGCACGGGATTGGATCTTCGTCTGCTGCTCGCGTGGTTGCCGTTCTCAGGGGTGGCCTGTGCTGCTCTCTGGTGTGTTGCCAGTGTGAAATCCCTGGGGGTGGATTGCGGTTATCTGAACGCTGCTGGGTGTTTCAGATTGCTGTGGATGAAATTACTGTTTGTAGAAGTGAGCTCGATCCCAAACCTGGATGTAAAATGAGTTATCTGTGCAGGGCGATTCGTTTGGAGGTTCTAGAGCAGTGAGCAGAGCGGTGGTGGGCTACGCTGCCAAGACCAGCGCTCCTTTTTGTTACGGCTACACCGGCTCCTTG